GCTTTGAGACGATGTAATGTTGTGATAATGCGCTGTACAAAAATAAATTTGTTTGTTTGTTGTTTGTACTTGTTTAACTTCCGCCTGTTCTGGCTTTTCTTTCTTTAAAAAGTTAAACAAAGTTTGAGACTTTTGCGTTCAAAAATATGGAAAGTGCCGGTACGCGTCTGTCTACCTCTAACAGTATGGCTAGCTTACATTCATCCTGCTATACACTTTATTATTCCTTAAAACGTAATTAAAAATAAAACATTAATATTTACATATAATGTATTTTTGTTCTATTAAAGTTTAACGACCCCCCCCCCCAAATCATATGGCCCCCTTATCAGCTACACGTGAAGCAAGCATATCTGATACCATATATGGGTATAAGATCAGAATAATCAGAATAAAGGGACAGCAGGTGTTGCTTGCCATCCCATTCCCTCTTCTGTCTTACTCCAAAGTCCCTAGTGTGTCCTCCTTGCTCGCTGGACCACTGTGTAGCAGAATGGGTTGGGTGAGTGGCTGTAGTAGTGGGTCCAAGGCCAGTCTCAGGCCAGCTTTATCTGTTTATTTACACAGTGGAAACCGCCTATAGTGATCACAGTTATAGTTATAAAACACTTATATGGATCAAAAAGCTTGGAACAGAATCATTCCTGTACCACTAATGTTTAATTAATTTGCTTACAGTAATCAAGTAGCCCACTTACAGTGTTCATTTGGGGTCTTTTTAAACATGACAACATATGGAAAAAAATTAAAACTGCAGCAATTCTCTTTTTTTAACTTTACTTTGATCATCCTACTTTGCCTTGTGTTAGGTCTCCTGGCTAGCTATCAGAGCCTAATCCTATTTGTATAGAAAACGGGAAAAAGAAAGTCATTTTCTCTCAGTGACAAATATAGACTCATTTAAGCTTATGATAAACCGCCAAAAGCTAGCTACAGAGATGCAGCACAAATTACAATAAGTGCTTTAATACAATGTAATGTTGTGAAAATGTGCAGTATAAATAAAACTGAATTGAATATTATGCACAATACTGTACTGTATTACAGTGGATTTGAATTATACAGTACTGTAGAATTGTACAGTACTGTACAAGGTCTGGCTGAAGTGGCCACATCCGTTTCCAGCCACTACGCTCCCAAGAGACTATGGGGGTGTGATGATTATTGAGCTACAGAAAGTATATGCTTGAGGTGTGAATGTTTGAATATGAAATGACCGATACTTTTTACTGTGAAAATTGTACTTTAATCAGATTGTCATTGTCACGCCCTGCTCGTCCGATCCTCCTGTGTGCCACGCCCCCCTTGTTAACCTCGTGTCAAACCCCGATGTCACCAGCTGTTTCCTGTTATTTCCAATCAATCCTGTGTATTTCAGTCCGTGTTCAAGTATGTTTCCCTAGTCCTGTCATTAATGTTGTTTAGTTTGGTAAAGTCTGAGGTCTGTCTGTGTACTGTACCTCGCTTTATTGTTTTCCACAATAAATCCCTTGTTTCCCGATACCTGGTCTCCCTACTCCTGCTTTCGTGACGTGCCTTCACTCCAGCTCATGACAGTCATGAATGCCCAAATAATTATAATTACTTTATTTATTACACACTTTTAACATAGATTTTACTTGATTCATAGGATACACTATTAATGCTCCCGTTGTGCAAATTTGTTTATTTCATTACTAATTTTGACATTTAACTTAATTAAACTTATTTAATATTCAACAGTAAACTTCCTTTCATTTTGGTGTTTTAATAGATACAATGTATATTTTATTGTGTGATGATCTGTTCAGCCAAGCAAGAGTCTGTTAGATGCCTGTTTAAATAGGAGAACATACATAACGGGGAAGGACATGTGGAGTGTAGATTTGGTTTAACTGCATTAGTTAGAAAGTGTTAAGACCAGGAACCCCCTCCCCCTCAATGTGGTGTGTGTCCTTAATAGGAAAGTGGTGTGACAGTCACTAATTATAAAGCTCAGGGAGCTTTGGTGGAATCCTACAAATACAGAGATGGGTTAAAAAGTCAGTACAGAAAGGTAACGGGTTGGAGAGAGTGACACTGATGTGAGATGGCCACAGCAAAAGACAGCTAGGCTCGCCTGCAGTAAGATTACGTTCTTTACGAAGAGAAACATTACAGGCTGCTTGTATGCTTTACTTTTGCACAGGTGTAGATCAATTTCCTCTGCAAAGAAATGTTTTTCTGCTACCTGACAAATCCGCCATTATAACTTCAATCTGCCAAGGTGCAAATGCAGTTGGCTTTTAAAGGGAATGGGAGATGACACTCCCTTGTTATGTTATGCCGCAAACAGACCAATGAGTAATTATGAGACTAAGTACAACCCTTTTGAACCATCCCCCTGGCACTGCGACCATTTCCCCCCCTTTAAACTAGCGTAAGTGGATTTGGCCACGCCCTAAATGAACTTGGACTATATGCTTCACACCATACACTTCAGATCGTTATTACAGGACCCATAGTTTGCACTTATACCAACAAATGTCACGTATCACAAATTTTTATATACTACATGTTTTTATACGATCCAAATCATTTTCATTAATGTTTTAGCTTATGCGTCGTCTGTGAGTTTCTGCAATCTTTCAGCAAATATTTCCATTTAACTGTTCACGGCCACCCTGTGAATAACCGAAACCGCAAATGTCCAGTTTGTGGATGTTAAGGGTTACTGTACATTGCCTGGCTAGACTAGCTCATGTTTCTTGAAATGGCAAATATAATGATAAATGACAGTCAGCTGGTCAGGTAGGCAGCCTAACATTTAGTTCACCCCTTTCACTTGTAATAACATTTTTTATCTTGCTAGGTAGAAACTTTTTATGACGAAATATTTTAAACTGCAAAATACAATAAATTTTTTTTATTGGTTGTCATCAATAACAAAATTAAATCACTGTAATTACAGTGATCCCCATAATTCACAACTTTTCTTTAAATTATCATTTCAGTGTGGATGGACCAGCTAAAAACTAAAAACCATCTAAGGTGACTAAGTCTTGTTTCAAGTGAAACTTTGTATATCTATCTGCAGTGACAAACCATTTACTGCCTGTGATTTTCATCCTACCTTGAATAACTCCACTGAAGGAATGTGGGTCAACATTGTAACCCTGGGCCTGAAGATCCACAGCTACCTTACTGTCCAGTGTGGCAATCTCAGTGGAATTCACACTGTTTGTCTCCACTACAAAGTCTGTAATCACACTGCCACTCCTGTCAAACAAAATACAGGAATATCATCTTAAATTACAGAAATAATGAGTATTTAGAAAAGAATGTTATTTTTCTTAAATCCCCTACTGCTATATTTGCACTAATAGTATTAGTACTATTGTTGAAAATATTACTATTACTACTACACTCCTACTAATAATAATGATAAAGAACAGCAAAAACAAGCAGAGTACCTAAATATACTATGTGTAAAGGAGAAAACTTACCTGAAGCCAAGGACATAGATTCGAACAAAACCATTAAAATTTTTGTAATGTTCAGTGAGCTGGATAAAAGAACAAATTTTATGTTAATCAAAATGCATACTTAATAAACTGTTTTTTGTGACAGTAACAGTTTAACAGTTTTAATACAGTAAATTGATATATACTATGCTGATAGCATGTTGCTCTTCAGTTGTATAGCAGAGTAATATGCAGAATTATAAGCTGAAAGTATTCTTTAAAAATATAAGTTGGCAAAACATATAAATTACATAAAAAATTATAAAGCTAAGCTAATGTGTGTATTGTATATCTGAATGTTGGAAGTATTTTAAGAACGTATACTTACAGCTGCTCCTATTTCTGATTTAAATTTTTTGAATTTTAAACTTGATGTATTAGCCAAATCTTGGTCAAAGTCGAGTAGAATTTTAAATGACATTTCCATTGTAAAATCTTTAAAAGATGAAAGCAAATGGTAAATTATTGAGAATTAAAACCTTTTTTTTTTAAATCAATAAATTGTTTTCCATGATCACCAGTCATTAAGAAATGCAAACATGCAATCATGTAGGAGACAGTTTGATTTTGGGGGTGGGGGGCAACTTAAAAATGTAAAGGTCTATTTTTTGGGGGGGTGGGGGGCAAGGAAGCCAAATTAAATATTGACGGTATACGTTTTCTCGTACCATGAAAAATCACAAAAAGTTGGGGTCTCCTTAAACTTGCCAGGCAGTGAATGGGGGTCAGGGGTCCCCCATGATTCACACTGACATTTTGACGACTGGTAAAGCCCCCAAGCCCCCCCCCCCCCCCCAAAAGAGACCCTTACCTTTTTTAGTTTTCGGCCACCCCCAAAACCCAAGTAAATTCCCCTGCGATGGC